TAAGTAGATAACAATTTATTCTCATAAGTAGGTAACAACCTAATATAAGTAGGTGGCAATATATATATACTGCTACCTACTACTTATGCAAAGTAGAAATGATGGTGGAAGATTTTCAAAAGCCAAAAATATAGAAAATAGTGATTTGGAATATAGTGACCAAGAATATAATAATCCAGAGCTTTTAATTCATGAATTCAAAAATAGTAATGAAGAAGAATTTAATAATAAAAAGACAGAGCTTAATAAAAAAGAGGTTAAAAAATTAATTAATAAAAAAAATTCTTTTTATTACCTTCGATAGGATAATAAAGCATCTGATAGTTGGTTACTATATTATTCTGGTGGTTTAAAGTGTACTCAGCAATATAAAAATAAAGAATTATAAGAAGTTGCACAAGGATCTATGAGTTTAGACACTTTTTTTAAACTAATAAAAAAATTAGAAATAGAATATGAAATATCAGACTCTAATACAAGTGATTTAGACTTAGAAAACAATAGTTCTATTTCAAAACAATTAAATAAATTAAATAATAAACTTAAGAATATGAAAAGCATAAATGCTTATGAGTATTTTTGTCTTCTCACTGTATATAAATATTTTAATACAATTTTTAATAATGAAGAGTCACATTCTTATATAAAATTAAGTCTAGAAATATCAAAACAGGTTTTTCAGTATGGTCTATAGATAGCATGCCATATTTGTAAGTGATCAAAAAGTTGAATTGCAACTAGAGTTTAATCTGTCTCTCGACAAAGATATCAAAAATATACACCAACTCTTATTAATGATGAAGACATACAAAACACCTACTTATGTTTTATTTATATCATAAATAAAAAAATAACTGCTAAAAAATTTTAGAACTATGTTCAAAAAGATGTTTTACCAAATGTTACAAGTTCTTGCACTTCAATTTTATTAGAAACAGCTTGAAAGTGGCTTTGTCATCTTGGTTTAGTATATTAGCAGTATTAACAAGGAATTTACTATGATAGATATAAACATTCTAATATTGTATAATATTGTGCAGTATTTTTTAAAAAAATAAAAAATTTTGAATCCTTAATACCTTAATTTGTTGGCAAAAATATAAAAATTATTATTAACTCTAAAATAAGTAAAGAAAATAAAATGTATATTTTTGTTACTCATAATAAGTATACTTTTTATACCAATAATAATTATTCTTTGATATAGGCTCCTCTTGGTATGCCTTCACTATACAAAAAAAAAAAAAGTAAAGCAATTATGGTCTCAGAATTTTTAACTGAAACTCATAGTCAATTTACAATTACTTCTGAAAAAATAAATGAATTGAATCTGCTATCAACATTTTTACAAGAAGTCTGTATAATTATCAAACCTAGAAAAAATAATAATAGTTGGTAAAATGCTTCTGATTTGTTTGCTTAAGTAGCTAATAAAGCAATTTCTATTTTTGAAGCAACTCATCCAAACTATGTTGGTGTTTTTGTATTTGATAATAGCACCAACTATGATATTTTCACAAGTGATGCATTATATGCTAAAAATATAAACTTTTCTTCTAATAGTAAATAGTTATAATTACATAATGGTTGGTTTATTAATACACAAGGTAAATAAGTTACTCAGTCAATGATTTTTCCTAAAGATCTTCCTCCTGATGATCCTAATTATATTTTTCATGATGAGCCAAGGAGTATTTGATAGGTACTTCTTAAACGTAAATTATAGCCTAATAATGGTTTAAAATTAAAGTATAAAAATAACTATTATAAACTAAGTATATCAGATTGTTGTACACATTACTTGTTGTTTGCATAGTCTAATTTTATTATGCAAAAATTAGCATTAGAAGATCTTATTGTTAAACAAAAGCATGTTTGTATCTTTTATTCTAAGTTTTATTATAAGCTAAACTTCATTGAACAATACTAGAGTAATGCAAAACATTATTCATATGAACATTGTGATTATTCATAGGCAGGATTACCAATTACCATATCTGAAGCACTTGATTCAATCTTACTTACAACTATATGTCATTTTGCATGAAAGGTATAATGTTATATGGATGCTTATAGACATGGACTTACTAGTAGGATAGCAAAATATGCTATATACAAGTATTATTCTCATAGACACATACCTAATGAAATTGATTTAGAGTTAGATTAATAGATATTAAATAGTATAAATTTAGTAATTAAAAAAAAAAATTACTTGTTATTTGTTTTGTATAAGTCTAAATGAATAATGCTAAAAAATTATAAATTAATTGATATATTTGTTATATTGTATTTTGTTTTTGAAGAATCTAATATTTGTATTTATTAAAATATTTATCATTTAAATTACTAAGGTTTTTACTTTAAACTCATTAAAAAGCAAATTTTGATCTTTTAGGTCTTTGTAAAAATAAAGAGTAAAGTGTATATATAAAAATTTAATAATATACTGGTATATATTATAAACCCAGACCTCTTATTTTTTTACTTCAAATTAAGCATAGATATTAAACCTGAAACTATTATCATAGAAGTATAATTCTTCATATTTACCTATTACTTAATAAATTAATTTACAAATATTTAATATATCCACAGAATT